CCCCCCCGCCTGCCAGGCCGTGCCACCGACTCGAGCACCCTCGGGCCGGCCGCAGCCACTGGAGGCCTCACACGGACGGGCGGGGGCCGGGGCGTGCCCCTCCTCGGCGACGAGAGGGTCAGGGGTTCGAGTACAGGGTCCGATGGGAATTTCACTTTCCCGCGGCCCGCTACTCTGTCGGCGTGCGCGCTGAAACGCACTGTAAAAAAATCATCTCATATTACTGGAAGGGTAACGGACATTCCGTCATAGTAAACTTCATAAAAGAGGTACGAAAGAACGGTTTGAGTTGGACTCTGAAACTAAATTTAGGGTACGGACGCGTCCGGATAATGATTACCGCTTATATCCGTTGATCATGTGATATGGTTGCTCCGCACCCCAGAAATCGAGGGGGGCACCACATCGATTCAGGATGTACACAGGGTTACGTGATTACAGGGATTACACGGAACAACAGTTTTGCTTCGACTTTAAAACTAAATTTAGGGACGGACACGTCCAGGAAATAATTGCCGCTGTTCTCCGTTGATTTTCCGTTGTTTTTTTCACACAGTGCGGGCGCCATCGTCTTATTCTTTTGATAGAGTAGAAGGAGTTTTCGCGTTTCTTTTAACATGGGAAAAAGATTACGGAATTACTCGTGGTAGTGCAAGAACACATCGCATTCCGAAAAGGGAAAAAAAAATAACGAGATTTTTTTTGAAGTAATCAATATTGTAGAGTTGCACGAGTTACAAGTATGTTCTCGCAAGTTTGCAAGAAAGTCCACTTAAACTAAGACATCGTGTTCCGTCAAACGTTAAATTTCGCAAAACACTCAAAACAACTAGATGAATGCAAGGCAAGACGGTTAAAACTCTAAAAGGTCACTAGAAATGACTCGAAATTCTCCGCACGCGACAGCACATTTTTTTCCCCGCTTAAATCTTTTAAGCCGCTCAGTCTGGCTGTGTGCAAATAATGAATGGCGGTCTGAATGATAAGCGATCCGAGGAATTCGCGGTACGGCGAGAGAGGGGGTTGAACAACCGGGGCTTAAGTGCTGCTCGCCCTCTACCACCCGCTCCCGCTACCTGCTGCAAAGCCCCCGCACACCACCCACTCCCCCTCCCATATTTTCCCAGCAGCAGCCCGAGTGTGGCCGCGTATGGAGGGCCTTTGGCTACTCGGGCATACCACGCCCTAGCAGGTATTCGGAATGCTCTCCCCTCCGCCGCCGGTACATGCGGGGCGGGGCCAGCCGGCCAGCCAAGCAGCCAGCCTAGCAGGCGCCCACCCTTTTGTCCCCCACCAACCATTTGATGCCCTCTTTATTGTCCTACCTGTAGATGTAATTGGATCACACACACACACCACACACACACGCGCGCGCGCACACACACACAAACACACACACACACACACACACACTCTCTTCCACGAGGACTCCCACGTCCGCACACTTTCTCCCCCACCCTCGCACCCACACATAGTGACATAGTGAGGGAGAGAGAAAGAGAGAAGACGAGCAATCGCTCGCTTACGCTGCACAGTTTCGAAGAGTCTCGTCACATCGAAGGGGTAGGATCTGGTAGAGATTGGCCGAAGGAATACCCCGGCGCGGAACCTGCGGGAATGTGAGGCTTTGCTCGGGATCCGGGCTGAAAATGGAATAGGGGCGCGGGCCCGTGTTTGGCCACTCGTGGAGGCCGACTAGGCGGCTGAGGACAGCCGCAGTTGTCACTCAAAATGCCAAAGTTGCAAGCAGGGAAAATTTTCTGTAAATATTTCTATGGTTAAAAAAAAGGAGAGATAAAGTAGTGAGTTTGAATTGGCTAATGTGTCGACTGTGGTTTTTTTTATTTGCTTCTTGGAGTTTGTGTTTGTGAAATGTCGCAGATTTCAAGTTTGTTTGGCTTCGCGTGCGCTAAAGCGCCAAACGCCCGCCTGCTGACCTGGGGTGTGCGTATGTTATTAGCAGTGGACAAAGGCGGAACGAAAAAGAATGGTGTTGCCGTTAATTATCGGGGATATCGGGGCTCAGGAACGTAGTCGCCTTTCAAGGATGTTCAAATTTTCGTTGAACTATAAAAAAAGGATAATTTTTCTTTCAATCGTGCCCCTTTCACCGCCTTCTCAAATAAAAAGAAACATGATTCTGTGGCAATTTTGTGACTCAGAGGCCCTCCGCACGTGTTCAACTGACGTTTGCAGCGAGTCAAAGTTCGAGCATCTCGCTAGATGCGTCTATGTGTCTCGGCGTTTATCGGCTCATAGTAGCCTATAAACGTACGCGAAGCGTTTTATGCCACATTGAACAATGTGGACTTGACAGATTTTTTTCATGTGCTCCGAGATTAGACAGTCGTCCTGTCGGATCACTTTTCGCGGAAGAGTCGGCACCCTCACGCACGCGCGGGCGGCCTGGGGCGGAGGAGCTTGGGTCGGCTTTTATTACGCTTTGTTTCAGTTATTCTGCTTATTTTCTTGTTAGCGAATGACGCAAGAACGCGAGGGGCTCAAAGCCACGAGCAGGGCACGACTCGACAGATGCGAAAACTCGAGTGCGGACGGGATGACCACAGTAGGGGGATAGAGAGAGAGAGAGAGAGAGAGAGAGAGAGAGAGAGAGAGAGAAGGGGGAGGGGGTGCTGTCTGGACTGCGCCGGCGTTCACGAGAAGGTTGGAACAAATTTACGGACACCCCTGCCAAAACCAAAACAAAACAAAACCTGGGATTGTCACCAACAAAGTAGCGCCCCAGCAGGCCAAAAAAAAAAAAAGACAAAAAAAAAAATCAACAACGGGGGGGACACTTCTCTTTTTCCCGTACGTTTTGTTTTCGTCTCCCAATTATACAAAAACTCGGAGTTACCGACCGTGGCCCGGGTGGTCTCTATACACAGTATCGTGAATTGGCTCGGCTGGAGTGCCCCCCCCCCCACCTCCATCCCCCTGTCCGCCATGCTACCTCTTCCATACCCTCACCATGAACCTATACCTCAAAGAGCTCCAGGCTGCTCGCAAACAAATTGATATCTGCGCCCAGCTGCACGCTGCAGGACTGTAAGTCATGTTTTAAGCTAGCAATCAATTATTTTTTTTTCAATCTCCATCAGCAACGGACGGAGTCACCTTACCGAGTTCCCTTCATCTTTCGCCCCTCCGAGAAAAAGGCGGCCACTTACCTTCTTTTTACTTCACTTTGACGTTTTACGCTCCAGGTCAGGCCCCAGACTCGCGTAGTAACGGCACCCCGTCCTGTCCTAGTGGGCGCATTTGAAGGCCTGCTCGCCGAAGCCGAGCCGTTTCCTCATTACCACGGTGTATTTGCTAACGGCGAGAGAGATGCGAAGAGGGAGGGAGGGAGAGAGACGGAGGGGGTGCGAGGAGGCGTGAGTCGGGCGTGAGGCTAGTGTGTGTGTCTCTTTTCCGGTGCGCCCTCACGCCTCGTAGGGGTGCCGGCACTGCCCTGAGAGGTCCTGGAACTGGAGCCCCTACTCCTGGAGCCACGCCTGGAGCTCGCGCCTGAGGGAGGCCACCGCCGCCGCCGGCCCCTGGAGGTGCCCCTTTGGGCGATGATGTTTATTCCAGCAGTAGTGCTTTTTGGCTGGATGGTGCGATGGCGTATTCATGTCTCCCAGCGACTGGCTTCAGACCGACGCACACGCGCATGCGGACGCCGGAGAACAGAAAAGAGAAACGGGCTGTAAAAAAGGGCGTTTAGGAATTTGTTCTGGAGGTTTTTTTAAAAAAATTACGTACTCAGACGTATTTTTGAAGCTTTAACCAAACTTTAAGAGATACACAAATACTGCAGTTTAATTTTTTATTATACTTTTTTCATTAACATGTTTGATTTTCTCTCCTCGATCAAGGAGTATCCACGTTTTATTTTTGTCCTTATTGTTTACTCCCGTTCACCGTGTTTTGTTGTTCGCGCTCGCCCAGGCTGATCCGGCGAGCGCTTCAGGCACAGTCCCCCGGACACCAGCAGGAGCCCCCCGCCATCCACGAGGAGGACGGCGAGTGAGTTGCGCGTGTGGTATGAGAAAGAGACGTGTTTGGGGTTGTGGTGTTGTTATTGGCTAGACACTACTAATTTACCCCTTGGATTAATTATGATAGTTTTTGTGTGTGTGTGCGTGGCTTTTCTGGGTGATCAAGTTGTAACGGGTGTGTTTGGCATCCCGTGTGTTCGATGCCTACCCGTATCAGAAAGAGACCCACTTAATTCTTCCTGTGTACCCTCCCCTTGGTAGACACCACAGTGTAGATGTTATGCGTGTGTGTTCGTGCAAACCCCTGACATGTATTTTCTGTGATTAGACTGAGTTTTTGGTGTTTTTCTTCTGTTTACATTTGTGTTTTCATCAGCTTCAACACTAATCCCAAAACATTGTTTTTATTGCGGTTTGCAGTCTTTGAAAAATTCCAGTAAATATGTTTTACAAAATTGTCTTTAGAGTGTGTGAGTGTCGCACGTATAAAATATGTTCAAAACTGACAAAGACATTTTTACAACGTCTCCCTGCGTATGCCAACTAGAGTGGAGTGTAGGAATTCCCCTCTGCAATTTCCTAGCCACCCCCTGCCTTATTATTTACAGCGGTATGTTCCCGTTGTGGTTGTTCTTTGATGATTATGTTGTTTCTCTCCTGCTTCGCCCAAACTCAACTTGAAAAGCGAGCAGGTAAATTTATTGTTCCCACCGCAGGGTGACGCGCGTGTGCTGGCAAATGTGCCGCGCACGCCTCGCCCAGCCACGACCCGGCGGCGCCCCACCGCGCCCCACCCC